TTATCCAATACTGTTGGTCCTATTTTGATCTGTGTAACATTGCCTGTTTGTTGGATAGAAAATGGTGAAAAACTACTGGACGATGATCGACCACGTTTCACGCCACTGGCTTTTTTCGGCCGAAATGTCCCCCTCAAGAAAAATTGGCTTACTGTTATGTGAGCACAGCTAAAGAGCTCCCGTAACGCCTGCAGTAAATGACGCCTGCTCCCAGACCTTCATCGAAGTCAGTGGCGGAAAAATTGACCTTGATAATTTGTTAACTGATATCGATGATAAAATGGTATCTGTGTATGTTTGAAGCGCCAAAAAAACAGTTTTTAGGTTATTCCTAAGTTTTAAAGTTTTTAGGTTATTTTCAAGAGTTTCTAAAAAACACTGTTTGTGATCAAAAGTGCCCTAATGTCCTCTTAAACACTGTCCTGCCTATGTTCCCAACCACTGCACATATCAAATAAAAAAGTCAAAATCCCCCGTGTATTCGCTCTGTAACAGATAGAAGAAGCATTCGAAAGTAGCTCATACGGTTGTGCGTATCAAAAGTAACCTCATGCTGCTAGGAGTGTCGATGTCTTCCCCCCTCCAAGAGTTATCGAGAAGCAAGCCGAATAAGGAGGGAAGGGGGGGGGGGGATTGACTTTCTAGCATTGCGCCGATTTAACAAGCATTGCGCCGATTTAACAACTGTTAAAAATTAATGAATCCTGGCGGAGTGGAATTGTGGACTTTCAGCACAAGGGCAGCGATATAAAGGCACATAATTCATCAGTTCAACAACGTTTCCGGAAAATTCAGCGGTCATTGCCCAGCTCGCTCCAGCCACCGGTCAACAGACCCCAGTCCATAGTGTACCATAGTAATATTATGCTAGTCATTCGTCCGTTAACATAAATTATCTTCCCCCCCCCCCTCCCCTTCCCCCTTTTTCCATCATTATTTCCGTAACACCCATAATAGTAAAGACCCACAGGCAAGAATCTGGATCAAAGGTGCTGCTGTTTGCAAAATGCTATTATAAATCACCAAAACACGGTGAAAGTTTTCGACTTTTACTCTGAAATGAGCACGATAGAATAACTTGTGCTAACGCTGAACAAAACTTACCATTGGATAATTGTCGAAAACCTTTCATAAGCCATTTTCATAACACTATCACGGCGCTCCAGGTGTGGATGTATTCGGCTGTTACGACTTTCAATAGATTTGCTTCGTGGTACCTGATGAGATTTCACCGGGTTAGGGTCTGATCATAAAAAATGCCCAGGATATACAGTTTAAAAAAAAAATTTAAATGCTTGGGGTTTCAGGATTAAGAAAAACAACTTTATGCTTTCGTAAAAAACTTCCAGGGAAATGTGCATTTTGGATAACATCAACTACAGCATTTTGGTAATAATTTAGCGAAAATTTGGCGAAATAAGTTTTCGAAAAATTTACTGTAAATTCAGTGGCATTCACTTCATCCTGCGGTGTTATGCTTTTCGATGGCGATGGAATATCAATTAGATCGTCCAGTGCTAAAAATTCATTTTTACTTCTAATTATATGCCCTTTTTAAATAAATCAATTTATTTCTAATTACATATTCCTATTTCTAATTACATAAAGATGTGGCTGGCTCAAAACTGAGAAGGACGGAGAAGCTGTCAGTGCTGCATCGATGGCGAAAAGGAACATTACGGATGAAACAACAGCCGATCAAAACTGTCAAAACAAAATACAC